GGAGAGTGAGAGAGCTCTGCAGGAGCGGATCTTCAAACTGGAGGCGCAGAGGATCCAGCTGGAAGAGGTCACCAGGCCTGCTTCCTTCCTTTCATCAGTGTAGAATAATTTCATAACAGTTGGTAAGAGTTTTTCAGATACTTGGTTTTGTTTGTCTGCTGCAGGAGCTGGGTAAAACTAAAGCAGCCGTTGTGACAGAGAGGGCCCAGGCAGAGGAGGAACTGGGAAAAGTGCGAACTCAAATGCGCTTGGAGGAGGTAAGACGCCTGAACAGAAGAGAAAGTCTTTCTGCTCTCAAAACCTCACGTCCACGCTTCTTTTCATGAGCAGCAGGAGCACGTGTCATCCCTGGAGGAGAAGCTGCGCTCCCTGCGTGCATCCATGCAGCAGCTGCAGATGCACTGCTCCCAGCAGAAACAGAACATCTCTGAGCTGCAGGCGAAGAGCAGCCACCAGAGCGTGGAGACGGACGGCCTGCGGCGCCGGATAGAGGAGCTTCAGCAGGTAGGCGCCCAGCGTGCTGCTGCTTGGTAATCAGCTGTTCTGCAAAACCAGCTGAAAATGAATTCAGACACAACTGAGACACACAGGATGTGCTCCAACACCAGACCAGGTGGAGCACTTAGAGGGATTATCTGTTTGTAAACACAGTGGATGCTCCAGAAAGACCCGACAGTCTTCAAGTGCTCACTGGTTGCCATGGTTACCCACATTTATCTTGCTGTTTTAACATTAGCTATTATGTTGTCAGTATGCTTCAGTTGTTTATCACTGTGTGATAAAATAAGTTATGCTACCAAATTGATATTAGTGACCCATTAATACACATTACATGTGAGTGAATAAATGAGGCAAAATGGCCCAAACTGCAGTGGCAATATTAATATTTCTGGAAATATTAAAGCAGTTTTATTCATGGTAACATCATCAGCTCTCAACAAGATATGTCCAGTCTCTCTAAATAAGACGAGCACTAGAATAGAGTTTTCCTAAAATGTAAGGTTTTAAAAAAGAGAGCGAAAAAAACATAAGAAAACCAAAAAAAAATTCATATTTGGCAAAGGACGAATGAAATACAGTCATTTCCTCAGCCACTAGCTGAAATCAAAACTGCAGCATGTTGAACCAGAGGTAGTTTGAGGTTCACAGACAATGTACTAAAAATAAAGCCTCTGACATCTGTAGGTCCCTCAAAGCTGCGTGTGTTAGTTTGTGCCGGGTGAAGAGAGGTGATCTGTGCTAGCAGCGAGTTGTTGATGATTTTATTAGTCTGATTGTAAATAATTTAAATAGTTAGAAAAATGTATTGCCTGCCTTCTGCAGGCGGCAGTAGAGTGGCTGCTGACGCAACGTGACGTCGCCTGATAATTCCTCTATGTGACGAGAAATAAAAAAGGTTGTTACCTAGCAACAACCTGTTGAGTAATATAGCTCACGCCTTGGCAGTATTTCAGACAAAACAAAAAAGTAATCACTAATTATTGATATGGACTAATATGAAACGCTTACACGGTGATAGGTTTTTCTGCCGCACCGCCCAGCCCTTCTTTGATTGGGTGGGTTTGCTGGTAGCTGTTTGGTGTGGATCCTTCCTACACAGCATGTTGTTGCAGGATCTGTCTGGAAAAGAGCAGGAGAAGATGGCTGAGGTGAGCAGGGTCAGAGTGGAGCTGCTGGAGCAGATTGGACAGCTGGAGGCAGACAGGACAGCACAAGAGGGGCTCAAATCAAAGATCAGTGCTCTGGAGAGAGAGATGAAAGGTACATTATACACTTTATTTTACTGCTTTGTTTCAAGTTGCATAATGTTTTGGAAATCTCAAAAATCTGATCCATTAGTAAACAGTTTGCTCAAAATCATTCATATTCCTGTCAGATTTTTGGTTTAATTTAATATTTTATCATGATCTAGATGTTTCTTCCCCTCAGAAGTGACATTAATATTTTGTAGTGGCCCAGGAAGAGTCCTGACAAAATCTCTGGACAGAACGACAGATTAAGGTTTGATTGCTGTAATATTAATAAAGATGAAGAGAAAATTGTAAACAATTTTCAATTAAAAAATTTTAATTGAAAATAGTTAAAATACTCCTTTTGCATTGTTTTATATGATAGAACATTCTTGACCAGAGACAAATGTCTTTGTTGAATGAAAATAATCTTAAATCTGAATCTACTAGATGTGTGGATAATTTTGGACTTAACAGCAGGCAAACATTTCACAGCAGAATATCTTCATCTTGACTTCAGATTGAGCTAAATAATTTGTAATCCACTAATTATTTGCCTTTGTGATGAGCTGTTCATTTAGATGCCTGTGAATAAATGTTCAAGTATTTCTTAAAGTGAATAATTTTATTCTGCTAGTTATTAGCAGAATAAAATTGTAAATTAGCTTCACTTATTTGTATTGGATAGTGTTCTTAATGTATAGAAAATTCTGACTTACAAAACAGAAATAATTTAGATCATCCTAACTTTAGCTGAAACAAGAAGTTTAGTTTTATTTGTTAGGTGGGTTTTTTTTTGTATCTTAACCTATAGTAAAAAATAATTCTAACAAAAATAGTGTATTTTCATTAACTTCATCCAGTTTTCACTTCACTCCAAATAAAAATGTGTTGAAGATTATGAATGTATTTACAGAGTGAAAAATCTGGATGTTTTCGGTTTTAATTCATTTACAAAACAAGAAAAAGTTCTCATACCTTAAACTATATAATAATATTTTGAACAAAAAAAAAGTATAGAAAATGTGGGAGGTCTCTATATTATATAACTTATGAGTTACTGAAATACATGAAATTTTCATTAATATTCTAATTTATTACATAAAACTACACACTTGTTACATATCATGCCATTTTTGTGCGTTTCATTTTTCGTAGTTCTGACAAATAATCACCGTGAAGTGCTTCTTGACAAAGAGAGTGAAAAGTCTTCCCTGTTGGAAAAGCTGCGGCTGAAGGAAGTGGAGATCCAGCGGATGAAGGAGGACGAGGCCCAGAGAGCCAGCTACCTGCAGAGCGCCATCCTCAGCTACGTTCAAGGCTCCCCGCTGGGACGCTACAGCAGCCCCAACAAGTAGCCCAGAGGAATCCCACTCATAACCAGTGAACATCTGCTGCTGCTCCAGTCACTACACCTCACTGGAACTGACTGACAGATTTTAGACGCCATGAAACGCTGACATTAGAAGTCAGTAAGAGCTCTGAACCCATAAGTCTTCATTTTTGACCAGGCTGGGGCTCATCCTCCCCACTCTGGTCCCTTTGCTCTCTGGTGTATGTTTGGGAGTGTCTGTGTGGTAACTGGAGGTGGACAACATTCATGCAAAGTTTTTTTGTTTTTTTTCTTTTCTTGTCCCATGGTCACCATGGTGATGATGACTGGAGACAGTAGCTTCTCACGGTGCAGCTGTAGCAGCTCTGTTCTTTCTGCTCCACTGCCCTACAGACTGTAAACATTAAAATGTCTGTCAGTTTTTGGCCTGAGGTAGTGCTGATACAGACATAAACACCAGGGATTAATGGATCCAGTTCAGGGGTTGTGTTCTGTCTGGAGGTTCAGTTTTCAGTGGAATGAAGCAGAACAGGTCTGGGTTTAAGTTTATGAACATAAAAACCAGAGAAAGTCTGTTGATCATCAGCATTTGTTTGCTCTTTACCCAGATATTCACTAAATGTCATCAAATTTTGTATTTATGTTGCTAAATGTGTAAATTCATGCACATTCTAAACAAGGTTTTGAAGAGTAAAGCAATATTACTGTACCAATTTAATTTAATATGCTTTTAATTTAATATATGATGGTTGAAATCAATCTCTCTGCTCAGATCAGTTGTTTGATCTCAGTTCCTTATTTTCTGCTGACAGGATTGAAAGATGAAAACTTTCCCCTTTGGGTCAGTAAAAGGAAACAGCAGCAGGACAGTATTGGGAATCTTGAAGCTTATTGTTTTTAGTAAACAACTTTATTTGTGAGGCAGTGATGTTTTTTTGTTTTGTCTGTTTTCCTGCTAGTTTATGTGACTGATCATCTAGCGCCGTTAGCACTCGAATATGTACCGTGCTCATTCCTGCTCACCAGTTTACAAATATTTCTAAATGTGAGCTCCATTTTTTTAGAGGAAGTGAAGCAAGATGATCCTCTGATTGGATCATAGGGTTAATTTTTACACAAACTTTGTATTCTAATTGCATCTTTATATCACAACGAAATATTTTGTATCATGTTATTTTTTCAAATGTATTCCATTTTGTGATTTTGTCAAAAAACAAAATAAATGTCTATTTTCTTCTATCATTAGTTTTAGTAGTACAAGTGTTTATTGTATGTTTTTTGCAAATAATGATCTTCATTGATTGTGTTACCATAGTTACAATTTTACAGAACATCTAAGGTTAGAGGATAATATAGAATGTACCTCTTCCTTCAGTTTTTTTGATTACATTATCGGATATATTTTATGTTTTCACTAAGTTGGATATAGATTATTCTGCAGCTGTTCTCTGTGATAGTCTGAGTTTGGACATGGCTTCGTTGGAGCTCGATATACCTGAATTTATTTTTAATTACATCATTTATGTGTATTCTTTTGTTATTTTTGTCTTTAAAATAGTATGTATTTATAGTTTTCTATATTCGTCTGCATCATGTTTTCATAATCAGACAGATGTTTTGATCTGTTAGCCAGAACTAAATGAGCCTTTTCACCAAATACGTTTTTAATCTTGAGTAAATTCTTAGAAAGCCACTTTTTACTTTTACTTGAGTAAAAATGTTGAAGTAGTGCAACTCTTCATTAAGGTGGAGCCTACTTTGCCCTCTGGTGGTAATGGGACAGGAACAGGGGCCCCAAGTCAAACAGTGTACTACTCTGTAGTACGTTGGGCCAGCTGTCAGTTTAGTATCTGTTAGCAGATGTTAGCCTGATCACTGGAACAATCCCACCTGTGTTCTGACGTCTAACTGGAAAACCGCCAGGCTGACTGTGACGTCATTTTCACATCCTGGAACGCGGCATTTCCACCGTTTGTCTCTCTGTCGGGCCTGTCCCTTTAACAACACTCGGTTGTTCCCGGAGAAAGTCGGCGCAGTTCGTCATCGACCTCTTTCACTGCGGCTTCATCGCCAAGCGGACTAACCCGCTGCTCTCATCCGATCCCTCAGCGCGGACTGTCGGATCCCTGAACTGTCCAGCCCCGGTTCCCGGAAAGCGTCCAGCTCCTGTCCAAATGCAAGCGATCAAATGTGTGGTGGTCGGCGACGGGTAAGGGCTCTTTTAGATGATACGGGCCAGCAGCGGAGCTTTGCTCATGTGATGCGGCCGCCGACAGATGGATGATGGGAGGATGCTATGTGGGAAAAGGGATGGGGCTCACGGAGCGCTGCATCGCCTGGCCCGTTTTTCTCCGGGTTAGCGGTCGGCTCGCCCCTCTGTTAGCGGCTCTCTGGCTGCATCCCGGCCGCTGCAGCGTGCAGGGAGGAGCCGGGCGCCTCGGGAAGCCTCGCAGAGAACACGGCCATCGTAGGCCAGTGGAGGCAGGCTGAAGTGCTGATGCACGCTGAGGAATGCGTGGCCCTCCCTGCCAGCAGCAAGCAGGCCCCGCTATTGTAACCGCTCACACAGCCCCTTGTCTTCTAGCGCCCAGATTCCTGCCTGCTGCAGCGGTCACCGCTCACGATCCTTACTGCTGTTCTTACTAGATATATTCATAAATGTTGAATGAGTCAATACTCATATTTTGTTCAAAAAGGCTGAATGTCAGAATACACACACACACACACACGCACACACACACACACACATATATATATATATATATATATATAAAAGACACACATATATATATCTCC